CCTAAACCGAGAAATAGCTATGATATGGACTCGGCTGCAGGTATGTAAACGACAACGGTTATTGCTGAAGTCAATGTGCAATATTAACATCGTCCATTTTATAATTTAGTGACCCAAACCCAAACATTCTTTGAATGAACTTGTAATTCGCGAGGTTGTTTTCTTCCAATCGAATATGTCAATATGGGTTGCGTTAAAAATGTTAACTGTCAGGGTCAACGAACTTTGACCTCAAAGATCGCGTAATAAAAGTTAAGAATGAAAATCCCAAGTGAAAAAGTTATTAATCTGGTGAAATTATTAGTTTCGACCAATGTCGACTCTTCTGCCCACACACATATACGAATTCACATTAACTACTTTCGAAAAGGGTTATGTTAATCACAATCAATCATCCATACGCGATAAAGTTGAACTGATTAACAATAACGAAGTTATTAACTGCCTATTAATATACCAACAATTGGCAACATAATAGACATATGAGCGTATAGCGAGATGCATAGCATGTTTGAAAGTATGGGTATATAACCAATATTACATTCTTGTAAACGAGTATCAAAAATCGCGTTACGTTGATTTTGGAGTGGTGAGTACGAAATAAATGTGGAGAACGTTTGCTACATACTTGTAATTTTTCCTGGAGCATTACTTTTGGAATGCCAATATTAAAATCTCGTGTATAATATATCCGACGTTTGCGTGCCGATCGGTGGACATGACATCAGGCCACAAATTTTATTTTAGCGAATTATGTCCAGGAAACAAATAATGAAAAAAAGAATTAATTAAAGGTTTCGGTTTGTACGTATTAAATTACCTGCCTTTAGGAAACAGAATTAATGATTATACTAATAATGATTTAATTTTTCTAACCATTCCATTGCAAGTATGTTGCTGCGTTTTGGGTAATCTATTGCTTTATTTTAACCATTTTCTAACCCTAACCCACTAAATAACCTTTTTAAGCTAAGCTAATAACACTATGTTATGTGATCGTACAATACAATTTACAAATAATAATTACTTGGGTTGATTATAATTGATATGTTCAAAGCTCATGTCATTTTCATTCAAGCTCGAGAACTTTAATTGTTCCTTGACTATTGGCTGCCAATAGGGTATTTGTGTTTTTCTTCCAACACACAGAAGAAACAAAGAGTGACGGATCATGATCATTGGTATTCTCACCCTAAAAGAAAAAGAGAACAAACAAATGCATCAGATATGGAGAACGGTATGCGATACACAATACGCGATTTGTGAATGGGGGATTCACATCCACATATAGAATACCACAGTTTATACTTACAGTCACCATATCGATACTTCCAAAGTTGAATTTAATCACTGGC